AAGCCCCTAGCTTGGACCGTTCACACGCAAATGCCAAGCCCCACCGCACACATCATGAAACACGAGACAACATTCAGGTGTTTGGTGACAGGAGAGAGGACAGCATTCACTGTTTGGGGTTCATTTCCAGAATACAAATGCCGTATCATTTGCAATATCCTTCCATTCTGTGGAAGAAATATGCTCATATTGCATTTTGTGTCTTTTCCATCTAGTTGATACTGACACTAGAAACTTACTCATGTGCATGTTAACAGATGATTTCCATTGCAGAAAGGTTCCATTTAGCTGCCCGTGGTGACATAATGTTCCTATATGACAAACACAATGGTTTAGTCCAAAATTTCATGTTTAACATGAAATCCATCTGAAGACTGGATTTTAAAAACAAACAGTGCAAACATTTGCTAACTCTGCACAATCAACAGCTCATTTGGACTTTTTGATCATTTTTATCTTCACTTTTTAATAGAAGCATGTGATCAACTGATGACAGCAACTGTCATCAGCATTGAACATGCAGGAAATATAATAAATGTTGGAAGCATGGAGGGATAAAATCCAGGTAAAACTTATTTAAACCAATCTGCTCTGAATAGTTTTTGGTGAAAATGTATGTTTCAGATTACCCTTAAAGGTCCAGTGTGTAACAGTTAGGAGGATCTATTGGGGAAAAGTGTAATATAATATCCATAGGTATGTTTTCATTAGTGTATACCAGTAATCATCTTAAAATAAGAATTGTGTTTTTGTTACCTTTTTTATCTACAGACACTGTGGGTCACAAGTTTGTCTCTTGTGCTTAGAAGGGGAGGGAGGGTTAAGTGAGTGAGTTATTGCAACTACACCGCTAAATGCCACTAAATCCTACACCATGGTTCTATAAAGCTGCTATAATCAATATTTGTATGACTAGTGGAATGTGAACGTTTTTGCTCATAATAATGAACCCATAGAGAACGATCCTGCAACTCTGAAGTTCCCTTCTGATCTACAGAGCATTTTACCATCTTTCAGCTCATCGTTTTGGTTCTACGGCCATCGTCTTACTAGTGTTTTGTTTCACTCTCACTGCTCTCAACAGCCTCGTTTCTAGCAGCAGCAGGAGGATATTTTCAGTGGAAAAGCTCTGATCATTCAACAGTACACTACCTGCTCAGCACCAAACAGCAAGCAGGCAAGTAGCTAGTGACCATAGTGGAGCATTTAGTAGCTAATGAACCCTATATTTCTCTCAGGAAATGGTGGAGACCAAAACAGGGGCTAATGGATAGTAAATATTGGACTACATTCATCAAGTGAACAGAAACACAACTCAAAATGAATGCTACTGATCTTCTGTGTCTGCTGGATGTGTGAATAGGCAGCTGTGTGCTTAAATGGTCACGATCAACTTCATACGATCAATATTTACAGTTTGTTGTACTTTGTTACAAGAGGCCAAAAGAAATCCATTCATCTAGGTTTCGGTATACTAGCCTATACCTGTCAAACTGTCTTAATAAGACCTCTGAATTTCAATCATTTTAGCAGCTCGCCATTTTATCATTTGACTATGATACATTATGGGATAATGTATCATATTATGTGATGCTATGAGTAAAATCAAGCAGTGTAACATCAGTTAAACTCAATGCTTTCTCAGACAATTCCCTGCATCTACAGTGTTGCTCTATCATTACATGCTAATAGTTTTAGTTGTGATGATGACATATACAACCTTATGTATTGTTCTTTCATGTCCTTGTGACTTCAGATCCGTTAAAACACTGGATATGTGAATCTTCTGGTCTTTTAAGCTAAACGTTTAACATGGCGATAGCCTCCTAATCACTGCCAGCCTCCAATCAGGCCATTTGACCCATCTTCTCTCTGTTTCTCGCCCTTCGGTCATTACAGGAAATGAAAGTGAACAATCCAACTAGCTTTTCTCACTCTCACTTTCTTTCTCTCTGTTCAAGCCCTCTATCTGGCACCGGGTTCCAATGTTTATGCATTTACTGAGATTGCTGGCGGGATTGTCAGAGAAAAAGGAGGGTTTATATTTTTTTTCTTTTCTCTCTTTTTTTCCCTGTGCAATCTCTTGCCTTCAGAAACCATTAATGCCCATTCAACATCAACATCAAGGCACAGCTTTGATGTCTATTCTGGCAACAGACCTCTTTCTTTCTCTGCTGCCTGCTGCTCTCTCTCTGTCTCTCTTCTTTTCTCTATCCCCCTTTATCCCTTCCTCTTCCCTTCGCTCACTCTTTACGGTTACTGTACAATCAAATAATTAAACGGATTGTCGACAAAATGATTTTACCTGGCAATTAAATATGCAAAGCGAGTCGGCAAGCAGTGTATGAGAAGGCGATTAAAAAGGGGCCCACTGCAAATCTACAAAGGCTTCACCAGCACAATAGGCAGCAGCCCCTGCCTGCCTCGCACACTAGCTTAGCCTGGGGAGTGACTGGTGCCTCTTTATACCAGTCTCACACAGCCATGTTTACAATAGCCTCAACCATGCTATGCCAATTACCACAATGCAAGGAGAAATGAATGCCAGTGTTTGGAGAAAAGACGGGGATGAAGGTAGCAGCGTTTGAGACATATGGGGTGTACAGGGCGGCGGGGAAAGAAAAGCGTATGCTGCCAATGAAATCAAAGTTACACCACAGAAATGTTCCCCATTGATAAAAGGATGCTGTGAAACAATTGTCTGCTTCAAATTCAAATTTAAGTTTAAGGAGTCAAAAGTCAAGTTTCCGTGAAGGCAGGAACTTCAGAACCGGTGTATAACCTGCGCTGCACTTCAACAAAGCACCTATTAGGACTGGAATGCCACAGAAAGGCTGAGAGAAGATAGCGGGGGGGCAAGCTCCTGATGTGCAAGAGAGGGAATGCGACAGTCAATGTCCATCTATCAACGCTTCAGTGGGGAAAAATGCAAGCAATTTTCCTGGATAGGTTTCCCTTCAAAGCCGGAGCCCCAAGAGGCTGTAAAAATAGAGTTGGGGAGAGGCGAGGAGGGTGGGGTAGAAGGGTGGAGGGTTACACCTGCCCCGTTCCAGACAGTTCAACAGAAACTAGCTGGTTCAGCCTGATTAAACCCTCCTCATTGTAAAGTTAAAACCATGGAGGGATTGATTTTAAGGTTTGGGGAGTATGTAATGCATTGATTATGTGTTGAAGTTTCCCCACACTGTGCCTTTGATGAAAAGAGTCTGGAAAATTAATCTGCTATTTGCGGTGTTAAAAATATAAACTGTTCAGGGACGGCTGCAGTAAAATTATTTTTTAAGGCAAAAAGGAGTGTATAAGAAAGAGAAAACCTACAGTATCTCATAGATGTGACAAGCATTCTCGGCTTGTCTGTTTTTCTTTCTTTTCTTTGCCATATTGCCAGGAACAGCTACCAGGGGAGAAAGAAATGAGAAAATCATTTTGTGGGAAGTGAAAGCTTGTCAGTAATGACTGTTGTTATCTTTGTTACGTGGCTACCTCTGCTTTTTTCCAATTGCAAGTCTCTCTTTATGTCAACAATTTGAATTGAGCTGTACAAGTGAGTGAGCCTGCATGCAGCAGACAGCCTGCGCTCCCCACCACTGAATTATTTCCTTGTATTAAATGATTTCTTCCCCCCACTGCTGAAATAAAGCCAGATAATTGAGGCAAACATGGCTTGGCCCTACGATAGGGGATGCAGGGTGCTTCATTAATGTTTGTGTTGACTGTCAGAGAGTAGCGCTGGTCCTCATTGCTCTTTAATAAGACCAATTAGCCCATGCCCCCATTTCCATGCTTAATGCCTCCCATTTAAGTGCTGAATACAGAACATGCACATTTAACCACTAAGGGGCTGTAATGCATCAAAAGGTTACAGGCTTTTAGTGATTCTTGTTTACACTGTCAATTAACAGCTTGCATTTATGAATTTAAACTTCTTTTTTTTTTTACAGAGGCGAGATGTGTTTTACAGGTTTTCATTTAAGCTGTTTGTGAAAGTACTGGTAATAATGGCCGTATGACGTGACTACAAAAATGAATTTTGTTGACCATTTGGTTAGATGAGGGGTCAGCTCTCCACCTTCTGCACAACTCTGCACTGTGCCGTGATCACAGCACTGCGCTGCTGCGCCTCTTTAATGGTGGCGGCTATAACTTTTTATGTTCTTCATTACTGATAGAGACATGAAGGTTATACAGAAGGCAGGTAACTGTCAAGAATAATTATTGGGAGTATTTAACAACGGGTTCCACAGACATGTCCGACATAGCCAATTCTGTCATTTTCAGTATGCGTCATTTCACTATAGCACGTATGGAGTGTAATTTCGAATTGAGCAACTGATACTGATGGCTTTTAGTGGGTTTTAACAGCATTACATTGGCTTACATGGCTTTTACAGTATGCTTTAGAAATGGAATATTATCAGGACCGAGTTTTTTGGTTTTTTGCCCAGTGTGCGGGTGTACAACATGCGACAAAGGTCTATGCTCAGAATCATACCGGTTAATATGTTACGTGTCTTAAACCACTCGGCTGATCGGACACCCTGACACTCTTGAGGTTTGGTGTAAAACACTTGATTGGTTAAATAATAATCTAGATTTTTGCTTTTCTAGATTTACATGACTACAAGGATCTCTTGTATCTAACGCATACATATTTATCTAGTCCACTCTTGTCACCTCTAATTAACTGGCATAATAGAAATGATCTCTTACTAATGTTGGGAAGTGTGCTGTGCAGTAAGAACTAGCTGTGATATGGCAATATATTAAGATGGCATTCAGAGGTGCTGTAACATGTTATTCTGTACAATCATGAAAGAAGCAACTCCAGGCACAACAACTTTCATTTGAAAAATATAAAACTTTAATAAAGGCTACATCTCTCAATAATTACAATAATTATAGGTCCATGTAAATCTTTAAATGAAACTCTTTATATAATGTATAATTTACAGTTTAGATAGAATGAAACAAAACAAAACAAAATGCTGTGGTGTAAAAAAAAAAAAACATGATTACAGGATATTATTAAAAGCATAAAAATATCTTTTCAACATAAAACCCTTCTGAAAACCAAGGGATATATATTAAAACCCTGAAACAGGGTAGCACATGGTATGGCATCCATGTAGGCACAGGTGCTGTACTCATAAAACACCAGCGATAGTGTGTGTGTACTGTTTGTGTGTGTGTGTGTGTGTGTGTGTGTGTGTGTGTATGTGTGTGCGTACTCTACGTGTGCATCACATGTGTCAGTATCCATACTTCAGAATGCATAATTACAATGTATACAGGAGCTCTGCTATATACGATGTTACTGTAACAACATTCAAAGGATATCGGAGCCATAATTCTTCAATGTTCACTTTTTTTTCTCTTTTTTGTGTGTTTTTTGACACGCTAGCTGACTTCCACAAGAAGTCGTTCTCAGTGACCCAAACTGGTTCTTGTTAGCGCAAGTTATTTTGGTGTGCGGGCTGTAAACACTGCCATTATTAGGTGGTACAACTTGTGCTCCAGGTCTCCTCTCTGTGTGTATCTGCAACTGTTTCCATCCCCCCCTGTGCAATGCCTGGTTCACAAACAAAGGCACAACAAAAAAGATTGAGCTCTGTCGCCGGACTGAGAGAAATAGAGAGGGGGAGAACGAACGAGGGAGTGTAAATACTAGTGTGACAAACTTAACATTACAAACTATCAGCAGCATATAAGACTGGGATTGACCATTAGAATAGTGGAGGGAGTGCGCCTCGGAAAAGACCACTGCTAAGGTTGTTAGTTTGGGTCAGACGGGGCTACAAGGCTATGGGAGGTGCTAGGCTAGTGTCACGTCCTTTGTGTAAAGTAAAAACAAACATAAACAAACACTAAACAATATCACCAAAGTTTTCTCCCAACATTCAAAGCAGCTTGCCCATTGGCTGGAAATAGGGAGGGGGAGGGACACAGGTTCAAGAAGACTCAAAAGGGACAACAGGGAAAAGAGTGGGTTGTTTTTTTTTCAATAAATACTTAATAAAAACTTTCAACTCATGACAAAAAGCATCTATATATATAATACATGTATATATACATATATGCACGTATGTATATGCACATGTACAGACGTTTTTGTAACGACGTTGGAGTGTAACATTAAGAGCAGGTTGGTGGCACTGTATTCAGCGCCTGCTAGTCCATTGCACTCGGCCGGGAAGCCGGCGTGAACGCACCATCAGTCTCTCATTACATCACAACAAAACAGTCATCTACATCTTCAGTGGTTATATTCAAGAAGAGGCGGGGTCTCCCCCCCACTGGCCTCCAATCATCATCATCATCAATATCATCCTTGTATTGGTCTTTTAAAGTCTCTCGTGTCATTCCCTTGTGTTTCTAAGGCTGATTGGTTGATAAAGTCAGGGAGGGGCGGCACCTCCTCTGGGTTCGGCATACTTCATTGGCTCGTCTTCCTTCAATCACTCCTCTTGTGCTGGATATATTAACTCTGTTTAGCTTAATATTAAGAAATAGAAAAAAAATCAAAACAAAAAAGGAGTCCAGAGTGTTTGTTAATTACAAAGAGTCTCTTGCTCAAGTTTTTTAGGGACAGTTTAGCTTTTGGTTGGGTGGGGAAGGGCATCGGTTGGTTGGCAACAAAGTGGCTTTTAGTCCATCCTCTCCACCTTGCCCAGGACCTTGCCCTCGTACATGGGCAACACGGTGGCATCCTCCCACACCTCCTCGAACACGGCACCACACTCAAACTCATCACTGGCTTTCTTGAAGTAGTACCTGAGGAGGAAAAACAAAGAGAGAGGTCCGTGATTAGAAAACGCTGAGCGTAGGTGTATGTGGAAAAAAACATAAAAAGTTGAACTCAACGAAAACTGACAGAGTGGCAGCAGGAGTGCATCTGATACATTTCATCGTGTTTTAAAGCGCTTTGAGGCACCTACACGACTACTTCCATATACAGGCTCGCGCACAACTCCCTTTAGTCCAAATCAAACACAAACACACACACTCTGAGAGCCAGAAATGGATCCTGCTCAAAACAACTTAGTCATAGCCTTCAATGCCATCCCTGCACACTTCAAAGGCAGAGCCTGACTCCACATCACACCGCTGCACAAACAGAGTTGAACCCTCCGTTTAAACACTCCCTGTGATAATTCAAGCTGCTAGAAACAGCCAGTTTGTGTGTGTGCTCATCCATGTGTGCTTGTCTCCTCATCCACTTGTTCATCTTGACTGCTGGCCATTCTACAGATGCCTATCTGTCCTGCAAGGTCTTATTAAAGTTGAAGGGTTAATTAGAGGCTGTCTTAAGGCCCCCCCCCTCTTCAGCAGTGCCCCCTCCCTTTCTGTGTCTCCATGGCTTCTAATTGGGCTGGCTGTCAAATGAAGGGCCTTTCTGTCACACAGGTTGACATTTCAGGTGCCTGAGAGTCTGCCTGTGACTGCAAGAGCACACTCCGTTGCTTGCACATAAACACGCACAAGCCCTATGTTTCTCTCTTACACAGCGCTCGCTATCACACACACACACACACACACACACACACTCACACACACACTTCGGGCAGCTTTCCGATCACCAGCAGAGAACAGAGGGGAAAAGAGAGAGCAGGAAGGGTAGAAAGCGGGGGGAAGCGGAGCACAGGCCTTCCCTGGCTTGGTGAGTGGGTGTGATAGATTGGATGTGGGCCGAGCCTGAGGGGCTTTACCCTGGGAGGGGGGAGGGTGGCGACCGCTCAGACGGTCTCCTGGAGGTCACAGGTCACCTAGCTAGCCCACTCTTCTTCTTCTCTCAAGCAGAGATAACTCCCGGGGTTAGCTTGGTCTCAGTGACTGTGAAGTCTCCTGGAGCTCCTAATGATTTCTCCTCTCTACTTTAAACCCAGCAAAAGATCAGCAGGAGGGGATTTAATGATAAGCTTTGTAATGGAAAAATGCCTCATTTTGCCCATGTGTGTCTGCGTTCAGGATACAAAAAAAAAGCTCTGTGTTTTATGAGCAATCGCTCAGCTTAGAGTCATTCAAACAACACATGTAAGGAGGGGCGTACAAAATGTACATAGTTATATTTTCCTTGTTGATTGTAATAACACAAATGAAGGAGGAGGAGGCTGCGTTACCACAGCTGCAAGACTTTCAACTCGAATGTGCAGCAATGTGACAGAGGGGTGATGGCTTTATTTAATCATAAGGCATTTCAGCAAAGTTTTTCTCCGTTGTCAAAGCTTTGCTGGCCAGGATTTTGCCTTTTTATCTTCATTATTAGAAACCAAATAAATGCATTGCCCTTCTAAATATAATTGGCAGATTTTTTTCAGGAGAAAACGCTACAATTTCACTCACAAATAGTTCAAAGTCATCACTTTGTTTCAGAGAGTGAGACTGAGAGAGACAGAAGGAGTCTTTCCATTGGAACATGTTTTATGTGGCAGGATTTTTCTCTCTTCGCAACATCTGGCACCAATATCGTCTGGCAGAGCCGCAGCGTACTGTTCTCCACTGTACCGCTGCCATGTCCAAATTAACCAACTCCACACATTCTGCTGCCATTGAAGCCAGACGCTTCATCCCCACCTCCCCCTCCTCTTTCGCTCGCTGAAGAGTTATGGGATAGCAGGGGTGCAATGACTTGTTTGCAGGCCTTCTTCTCTCTTGCCTAACAAGCAGATGTGGCTGTAAACTAATGTTGATGTCATGGCCATGCATGCTTTGTGTCTTTTCAGTGGCATACAACTTACGCAGTTGCTTGAGCAAGTCTTCCTGATTTAAATGTCTTCAAACTGACTGGCCATTATATTTTAAATGTACTTCCTTTCATTGTTTAGGAATTTCCCCCCATCGTCTGACATCGACAGGAGGTATTTTTGCCGTGTTAACTGCTATCACTCATTAATAGAAGAAGGTGCTTGCGGCATTTGATTTTAATGCCTGATGCAATAGTGTGGAGGAGGAATTTGGGGGCCTTGCAATGGTCTTTGTGCGCAAAATAAAATGTCCCAGGCTTCAAAGCCATATTTATTAAGGCTGCCTTACCATGGAAATCAGTACCAGATGTGAGAAAAAATTCACTCCAGAACCCCCCTCCTCTACCCTCCCTCTGTAAGCCCTGAATACAGTGGATCAGCCCATTTCTATTTCAACTATTGCACTCCAGTATTTCACACTCCCACTCAGCAGACGAGCATATACAAGTACAATAACAAATGCATACATACACAGATAACTAACCCTGCTACGGCATCAAGCCCATCCGAACAGGTGTGAATAAAACATCTATCCGTTTACGTGCTAGTGTACTGTGATCTGTGTCAGTGGTTCATATTTACCGGTAGTTGCCTTTCTTGCTAAGCTGTTCCTTGAAGTGTCCCAGGGTGAGGCAGTGGGTCTTCATCATGCTGCGATAAGGGATCTCCTCACCACAGAAGAAGTAGGTGACCACTAGCTCCTTCGACCTGCAAATGCAAAATGAAAACTGGTTTTAAACGGCTGCACTTGTAGGAGAATGGGTCAGATTGTTGAATGTAGACAAAGAGTCTTTGGAGTATTGTTAATTAAGGATGCCAACAGACAGCTGGCTCGCCGAGGGTCAACCAATTAAAACTAAAAGAGGCCTCACAGTCAGGTGTCTGTAGCTTAACATCAAACACCACAACCCATTCAACAACAAATGTATGAAGGGGGCTGATTTGAGTTACCAGGGGCTACTTAACACATCTTTGTTGGGTTCCAGTGGTGAATGTGTGTGTTGGGAGACGGGTGGGTAGTTAGGATTCCGTACTAAAGCATGTTTAATCTTAAATGATTAAAAAGCGAGAGAAGAGGAGTTCAAAGACATAGCTATGCTGACTCACAACATCTCTCTTTGAAGGCGAGAGCGAGAAAATCTGAGGAAGAGGGCGAAAACACAAGCTTGGAAAGAGAGGGAACGCTCAAATAAAGCGTCTATGTGTATGAGAAATGAAGCAGAAAGCTAGAAAGCAATTGAAAAACAAATTAAGAAAACTGAGCTAGAGAAACAAAGACAGGAATTTGTTACTGATTCAAAAGGAGAAAAGTCAAATAAGTGTCCCGTACTCGTCTGTTTGGAGTCCGGGGCTGGCTAGAGGGCTGCCTCCAGTGGGGAAGGTAGCTGCTGGATGGCTCCTGTCTCTCTGAATGCTGCTGGCTGCTGTTGATTGCCTGTCAAAATCACAGAGATCAATGACTAATTAATACTCACGTCAATATAACATGTAATCTGATGTGGGCAATCAAATGTCAAAGATGGGGAATATGTATGATGACAGTTTTTGTTCAATATGTTAAGCTGAAAGTGTGCCCTGAATATGTCTGAGTGTGCCTACCTCTGTTTTGGCGGCTTGGAGACCTCTTCCAGTCTGCGGCAGGCCTCCTCCAGCTGTGCCAGGGTGTTAGGCGGGGGCAAGGGTGGCATGGCCGGGTCCTGGATGAATGGATGGCCTGGGTGGTGGCCACGGAGGTGAGCCCCACTGCCAATGCCACCACCACCCCAAGAGGAGTGAGTCCGACTGGACAGAGTCTTGGAGTCGAGTGGGTTGGACTTCTTTAGGCCTTGAGTGCTGTTAGGACAAAAAGGGTCAATATATAAGATGAGCCGGGAACTCAAGACACTAGTGTTCTCTGGTACAGATGATGATGAGACGGCTACTGACAGAAACTTACCTGTTTGGCTTGTGCTTGCCCTGCCTCTCACTCTCTAGGATCCACTGCCAAACATTCTGAGAGCGGTCGGTGGCATCTAGGGGAAGGCGCGGTGAAGACACGCCCTCATCGGTGGCCTTGACTGGCCGTCTGGACAAAGTGCTGCAGCGACTGGAGGAAGAAACAGATGCAAGTTGAGACCAGAGTAAGAGCAGCTTTATCACTGTAGGGCCAATGTACAATGCTGACTGACAACTGGTTTTAGTGCAGGTCAGATGTTACACTCACGCAGGGGTGAAGTCGGAATAATTGGCGCCCCCTGGAGGGCAGAGGCACTGCACACGCTGAGCCGCCTCGGCCTCGATCTGCTCCTTGGTCTTGGGCCCAGCGTGGTGATGGTGGATGTAGTGGTGGTGGATGTGCTTTGTGGATGGCCTGCCTGGCATCAGAACCTTAGCGGCCCCAGGATAAGCACCAAAGAAGGGCCCGTGGCCAGAGGACACCACTGCGCCCGTCCGATCCGGGGAGCTTGAGCGCGGTGAGTGCCGAATTACACCTGGTGACTGGCAGCCAGGTGTCTTCAGGACACGGGATAGGTGCTCGTCCAGGATAGCCTGGGGGTCTTCCTCGCATTGGCTGCCAGACGGGAGCAGAGGGTGATTCAAGGAGGTGCTGCTGGCAGGGTCGCTGCTCTCCTCCCTTTCCTCCTCCTGGACAGGGAAAGAAAAAAAATAAAAGAGTTATGGCAATTGACAATACATTCATACACAGTCACATGTGGGTAAGGCAGCAAACAGAGGAATTTATGTCTCAACTTACACCAACTTATATCTATCGTCCTCTGAAGTCAGTGAGAGCAAACGCCTGGATAACTTGATTTGAGTTTCCTTTTTGCCGCACTGTTATCTTCACTAACAGGCTTTGGGTGCACTTCATCTATAATGCAGAGTGTGCCTGTGCTTCACAAAGAGACTGGCACTACACATACTCAGCAAACGTGCCACTGGAGAGTAGCTAAGTGCTAACTATTTGAAGGAACTTCAAGTGTGCCTAGAAACATAAGTTTGAAAGTTCCTCCAGATGAAGTAGTGTAGGACAGCGAGGAAAAGGGAAGCAGTAGCTAAACCAAGACAGACTTTCAAATCCCTTGGTCTTTTCCCTGTTCTTCGACATGTTAAAGCTGGCATAAAGGCTTTTGTAGTGCAATATGGAAATCGTCCTGAGTTAACTTGGATGCAAGTTAGATTTTCCAAGTGACAGTCATGCTTAATGTTGGAAGTGTTTACAACAGGTTTGTGTGCATCCGTACCTCCTGAATCTGCTGGAGCCTCTCCTCCAAAGAGCTCATAGTGTCCTGCTCTCGCTTCAGCTTCTCCAGCCGGGCTATGAGCTGGGCAGCAAAGGCTGAGGGCTCAACGGGGGTCATCTCCTTAGGCAGCCGGTGTGTCCTCTGCAGGATAAACAACACAGGCGGAAGGACACTTTAGTGTGTGTGCGAGTGTAACTGCGTAGTGTTTCTGACGGATGCAATATGTTGCATTAATCCACTGCCCTTGCCCTAATCCTATCTTGTTCCAAAAAGCCTGCTACTATTCCAAAAGGCCTAATCCAGATGCCCTTGCCCTCGAGCTAACCTGAACCTTCTCCGCCACCCATCCCTCCCCAGATCTTCTCATGCCCAGTGCCCTTGGCAGTGCCAGGCTGCTGGGCGAGGGGGAGAGAAGGGGGTAGTGATGGCGGGGTAGCAGTTGGTCTCGCTCGGAGGGGAGGCCCCCTGCCTGCACCCTCTGTAGCCCGACCAAGCCATCAGCTAGGCAGCCTCTGAAGTCAGCACACTTCAAAGGGCCCTTGTCAAACATCAAACGCACAC